TAAGGTTCCAAAAATCTTCTGAATTTCGCGTTTGATCAAAAAGTCTATCAAACCACATCCGAGTGACCTGAAATTTTGCACACACATCCCAAATGACACAACGGACTTACTGCAACTCCCAGAATTCTATTTCGACCCTTATATCAAAATCTCACCTATCAAATGTAGACATGTAATTTTGACCCGCACTTTCGAATTACCTTTAATAGTCCTAGTATTTTTTTAGGATATTTGTCTGAGTTTATTTCTATAAGATTTCACTTTATTATTAATTCTGATTCTATTTTTAAAGGCACAAAAAAATTGAAAAAAAAATACAAAAAATAGTTTCCTTATATATTTTCTTATTTTTAACTTAAGGCAATCAATATTTTATAGCAAATATATTTTGTTTATTTTATTTTATTTTATTTATTTTTACTACGATTTTTACGTATTTTTCTCTACTTTTATCTTTAATGTATTAATTTATATATATATTTATATATATAATATAGTTGCATTTTGTTATATAATTTACCCTAGTTAATTAGAATTGAATTATATTTTGAGAAGAAAAGGTTTAAGTCTTTCTTAATTGATGGATTTTAAAGGGTTATAGTCCCAAATTTAGGCCCAAATTCAGCCAAGCTTGAGCCCAAATTGGGGCAACCCAATTCCCTTAATTCTTGACCCACACCCAACCCCTTCGACCCGCCATACCTACCCGACCCGACCCGACCCGTTTTTGGTCTTAAATCTCAGCCATTAATTTCCTCTCATCCAATGACCCACATTTCATTTTAACCCCATATAAAACCCTAATATTTCCCAAACCCTAAACCTAAATCCCAACCCAAATCGGCGCCCCCCTTTACCAGCCTCTGCCCACGTCCCTTGCCACTCTAACTCGCCGGAAAACTCAGCAAATCGGCCGAGTTAACTCACACGGTCCCCTCATGGTCCACCCCTCATCATTAGGATTTGATTCTACGCGTTTTCTTCCTATTTTTCATTTTTCGGATTTCTCTTTTAGGCGAAAATAGGAAAAATAGGGTGCGTAGGATTGAGTTGCACTCGATCTACTCCCTCCATTTCTCTTATCTCACCAATAGAAGAGATTTTCCGATTTTGGTTTTGATTTTCTGAGAATTTCGTGGGGATTTTCGGATTTTTGAAGGGTTTTGCGATTTCTTGCAAAGGAAGAAGAGAAGCTTCGAGAGAGGGCTATATATTTGGGTCTGGACAGAGATTGAAGGGGGGATTGGGATAAAAATTAGGGTTTGAGAAATCATCAATCCTCTTCTCTAATTTTCTTGGTTTTCTTGGAGCAACCAGAAAAATACAAACGAAAAAAAAGAGATTCAGTTAGCCCTCTTCATTTTCGGATTCTATTTTTCAGATTTTTAGTTTGATTTAAATCTTCGAAAAATACAAAAAAAATTATTATTCTCAGTTTTGTTTTGATTCTCTTTGATGGAGTTAACGAAGACATCGTGGAGTTGAAGCTGTAGTCCGAGATTTTTGCCGAGGTCATTTTGAAGTCGCTCTTTGACTGCCGATCGAGGTTTCTGTTCGGGGCTCTTGATTCCTTCTGCTGTTTGTTGTTCATTTTAAAATCTCGTTGTTGACTCTGCTTGTATTTACTCTACAGAACTAATCAAAATTTTTGCCACACCAGGTTCATTTCTCTTCTTTTGTTGAATATTTTGGTGTGGTTGGAATATAAAGCTTGGTATGCAATACTAGCTTAGATTGTTTGTATCACTGTTATAAATGTTTGTTGCTAGTTACTTACTGTTAGTGACTGCAATAGTGTTACAAATGATACCTTTCTTTGCTGGTTTCAGTTAGGTGTTTTGACATCCCAGTCATATTACAAATTATTTGTCGAAGTTAATATAATTTGCTAATTCGGGGAATAAAAATGAATCTAAGACTTCAATGCTAATCCAGTTTGCTTGTAGGTGTTAAAGCCTTGTTTTAGTTTGAATTTGCTTTGTTTATCAAGATGAATGACTGTGAATTCGATCGATCCCGTGACTATTACGACAAAGGAGTTACTGTCTATATTTGTTGATCTTGGACACCCAGATCATAGCTGCCTCTGTTTAATTTACTAGAATTTAGATTCCCGCGCTCATGTTGTTTATCCATGTATTAAGTTTTGTATGGATTGAGTAATTAACAAAAATGGCATGTCTATGATTATGGTCTGATATCGAGCGGCATTGTATGCATTCTGACTGTTAATGCATAGATCCTTTCACATCTGTAGTTGGTTGCATTGTCCGCTATTGATGACTAATGGTCAAGCTGTTCTTTTAGGTTCATTTTTTTGTTAGATCATTCTAAATAACTAGACTATCCCCCTCCTGATCTATTGGTAACTTGTCCTGCTCATATCATGATTTCATGAAGTGCTCATCATGCAGGTTACCTTTCCTAATATTTGATTTTGGTTGCCATCAGTTTGTTTGCAAAGTGTCAATACAAGAATTTGGGTGAATGGGAAGGTGATGCTATTAGCTATACATATTTGTCGAGTTTCAATTCTAAATTTAGGGGTGAGGAGTAAAGTAAGTGACAGTTCATGATAAGTCCTTAATTAACTTTAAAGGAGGAAATTTTTGTATTAAACGGGTAGTTCATTAACTTAAAGATTGCCAGAATGGGGTGGGGTTGGTAATTGGCTCTTGTCACATTTTTAAGTCCATTTTTCTGTTCCATTGCTTCACTATCGTTCTTTCTTTCGCTAGTATATTTGATCTACCTGTTTGGATGTTTTCTTGTCTGGAACATTTCATCTGCTAAAATGATGTTATCTTGAATGTCTGTTGGATCATGGGCCGTGGGGGTTGGTAAAGGCCTAGCCCATTAGTGATCTGAAATTGCTCGCATGTTTTAGGAATTGGGCTTGGTCAAATGCATGAAATAAGAAGTTAAAAGAAAAGTGAACATGAAATGAGTTTTATTTAATTTTATTTCTATCTTTTAATCTCTAGGAGCATGCTTAGGCCGACCACATTCGGGTAGGTAAATCTTTAGGGTGTTTATATTTTTGTTTTTGTTTTGTCGAGGCGAGAGGTTGTCCCTTTAGCTGATTATATTATCCGGGGAATGCCCCGAAGTACTTTGTAAATATTTTGGAGGCCGTGACGAGTTTGTGAAGGAAGCTTAGTGTAGTATTTTATTTATTCTTATCTTATTTTTCTTTTATCTAGGCAGGGACAACCTCGAACCTCATGTGTGTTTATTTTGCTTTTTCGTGATTTTATCTCAACTTGAATATTTTAAAAGCCAACTAGATTGAGTACGCAACCGTGACTTTCACGGGACTTGGGGAGTGCCTAACACCTTCTCCCCGAGTCAAATGAACCCCCTTACCCAAATCTCTGGTGGTGACTTAGTTTTTGAGTCCAAAGTGTTTTAAAAAGAAAAATCATTTCTAAAAATGGTGGCCTGACACACTGAAACCAATGTCAGGTGGCGACTCTGAAACAATCCTTTTGAATACATATTTTTGTCACTTTCGAATTTAAAAACCCTTTTGAGTTTCATAAAATCCTTTTATTTATTTTAAGAGGGTTAAGTGAGCTTAAAAGGGGTGTGACATCAAACGGAAAAAGTCAAAATACCAATTTCGCCAATTCACACCTAAACCTACTATGGACCTCCAAAACACGTTCGAATCACATTCCTAAGTCCCAAATCATCTCCCGAAGCTATCCGAACCATCGAAATTCACATCCGAGCCCTTTTCACACAAGTCAACATCCGATTGACTTTTTTTCAACTCAAGCTTACTCAAAAGAGACTAAGTGTCTCAAACCTTACCAAAACCTTTTTGAACCCGAGCCAACCAACCCGATAACACATAATACCGCTGAACAAGGCAATAAGAAGCAGAAATGGGGAAAACGGAGCGATAACTCATGAAACGACCGGCTGGGTCATTACACCTTCCTCTCCATCTTCTTCTACCAAACAAAAGAACAAAGTACTCACATAACCATGGCTTGGTTAAATTCTAGGCCAAATTGCCGGATATGGAGTTTCAGGGTTCCAAATCGAATAGAACGAATGCAAAATTTTGAAAAATTCTTGGCTTTCAGCGGAAAAGTTCGGAACTTTCTTCTTCTCAGAGTTATACATTAGGAAACAAATACTAATCTAAGCCAAAAACGTTTAGATTTGGAAGTTGGGTCATTTGAAAATCTGAAAATTAGGGTTCGAAGTTGGCTGAGTGTTAGAGTTTTTGGTTGTAAACGCTGATATGAGGTGAAGTCTGAAGATTTTAGCTCAATTTTGAACTAATTTTCTAGGGTTTTGGGTTCGAAACTTTAACTGATTTTTCGACGCAGAAGACGAACTTAGGTCTTCTGATTTTGCGGTTGTTTGTTCGAATTAATCACTCGACTTGGTATTGATGTTGATTAGAGTTCTCCTTTCAAGTTTTAAATTGTTTGGTGAAGATTTGGGTGAGATTGGTTCGTTTTGGGTCTGCTGAAGCACGATGAAACACTTCTAGTTCTTCAGTCGACGAACTAAGAAGAAATTGCAATTTTGGGTTCAAAATTTGGTAGGATTTGGTAGTAATCTCGTGAACAAATCTGAAAATTTAAAAAGATAAGTTCACTTGGAAAAAATTTCCGACATAAATTATTCATTTTCCGGTAAGAAGTATGTGGTATTTGTTTTTTGGATGATTTCACGCACTTGAAAAATGTGAGAAACACTTGCCTTGTCATGTCAGCATTTTGTGTCTAAATAACACAGTAAAAGCCTAGTTAAAGTGTTCAAATGAAACAGACTTAAGATAGATTGTCTAAGTGAAAAGTGAGCACAAATTTAATAGCTTGCTATTCTGCCAATTAAAATTGAGGAATTTTCCTTGTTTATAAGGAATAAAACAAAAATGAAACATAAACATAGAAGTCAACTCGAACCGGAACTGTTGAAAGGGCAAAACACTCGAACCAGACCGGAGCCAAATTCGAAAAACCTTACCGGGTTAACCAGCTATACTGTTGAAAAGTAAAAGACACTATCTACGCACTCACTCCACACCACCCACCCCATAACCCAACCCCAACGCTAACCCCAACCCCCTTCTCTCACGCTCCCTACGAGGGTCTTCTTCATGCCCCAAGAAGATTGGTGCAGTTTCATCCTGCAATTGCCGGTATGCTTGTATTTATTAGCTAAACACATCCATTTTGCTGACCCATTTTGATTAGGGCTCTAATTTCGTTTTATCATTTTCCACTTGTCAATGTATGCGAACCCATTTAAAGTTTTCTCTTAATCTTTTCAATTTGATGGAAAGATTGGAACTTTCACACTTAGAGCTATTCTATGGCTTCCTTCCTTTTACTACCTTTATTCAATGCGGCTCTTCATCTAGTTGTGTATATATAGAAGAATCCTTTCCTAACTTTCAAATACTTCAAAGGAAAATCTTTTGACAATTTCATTTATTGAGCGCTTTGCAGTTAAGTCCTTGGTGTTTTAAGAATTAAAATTTGGGGAAGGGTAGTTTTCCGGTGATGGAATGACTCGAAGTTTGGATTGTGGGGGGAGAGGGAAGAACCCTCCATTAAGCTCTGCTGTGCTGTTTTTTGTTTTATCTTAAAGGTTGTAAAAGAAAAATATAAAAAAAAGTTCTTTATGTTTTGAGAAGGGAAAAGAACTGAAATAATATAAAGAAGAATGAAAAGGAAGCTTATTTTTTCTTTTTATAAAATGAAAAGGAAGTTCTCATATGTAATGTACCTATAGAAAAAATATAGCCACCAAAAATAGGGAGTGTTTCACTTAAATAGGCCCTATGAGGCACCAATGTACTCCCTCCGATCACTTTTACTTAGATTTTTTGCTTTTACTTGCCACTTTTAGCATATAAAGAGAAGACAATTTCTTTTTTCCTGTTATACCCACAATATTAATTACTTATTTTAAATTATTTTTTTAAATCCATTAAAAATATGCATCAATTAACATGAGTATCATGGTAAATTATACACTTCACTTATTATTCTGCAAAGTTCATATTGGACCGGTAAAAGTGAACGGAGGGAGTATTAGTCAGCCAGCGGGTTCCCGATACCAGATGGTCAAAAACAAAAAAGTTGAACCATAAATAAACATAGAAGATGTGTCCTTTTGTTTTATAAACTTAAATTTTTACCATTTAATTTTTTTTTATAAACTTAAATTTTACCATTTTAAATTAACTAAGATGTGTTTCGCACATGATATAAACTAATTTTTTAATATTTCTTCACTTATTTTTATACCTATGTAAATATAATAGTTGTTTACATTATTTGTACTATTGGAAAGATGGAAATGTTGTTATGAATTTTCATGATATGCTGGACATGCTAGACCGCTTAGGATTTTAATGTTTTTAAGCCAGTAATATCTTTGTATTTTTACAGTATCAGCTTGATACTGTTTTTAATAAAATCTTCACCTTATAAAAAAAAAGTAGTATTATGTATCCGTCATAAGAATGTGAAAAATAATAAATTTCAAATATTAGAATAAAACACTAAAATTCATGTCAATGATTCATGATCTCAGAAAGAATACTAATATATAAACCTAAGTTGCTCGAACTCGGGTGCAGGTGTCCGATATGGGTGTGGATCTAGAAGTCGGATCCTTCATGATAAGATTCGGGGGTATAGATCTAAGTACTTTCGGCTGCGGGGATTCGGCTAAAAATAATTCAAATATCTTAAAGTAGAGTTAAAAAATATGCCTAAATTATAAGACATTATGTGGAAAACTTACATGTGCTTGTAAAGTGCAAGAAAAAGTCTACAAGTTTAAACCATAAAAAGTGAAGAACATTAACATTTGAATTAAGCTAATAAGAAAATAGAAAAGCATTTCTAATTGGAATTTGTAGGCCTCCTACATTTTCAAAGGAGAATCCGAGAAGGAGATAAAAAGAAAAGGACTGACATAGAAATTTCTATATATACAAGATATTTCATTTTCTTCAATTTCACCCTAGCCTTTATTTTGATTTGAGAAATCATTGGATCAGTCCCAAGTTTCACCATACAAAGTACCCAAAATCGATTGACTATATCCACTACGGATCCCACACCCACCCATATCGTGTCGACACGGGTGGGGCACCGAAAGTGAAGAGTCCGAGTAGCTTAGAAATAAACTAAATCGCCTTAATTGTGAATAAGATTTCTTAGTTAAATTAACTAAACCTGTGTAAACACTTGGTGCAAGTTAATTTTTTTCCTAGCCTTTTAAACATGGTGAGCTGTCTGAAATTCTCACTTCGTAACGTGTTTATAGAAGTGGAAGTGTGGAACACAGAAAGAACTGGCTGAATAAATTGGTGTTTTCTAGGAGGAAAGTTAGTACAATAACCATTCCACTGCTTTTCAGTTTTTAGATTTGTTAGCTCCCCGAGCATAACCTAGTTTATTTTGTATTGGAGCTAACTGTGCCTTTTTGTAATCCTTTGTGGATCTGTTAGCATCTTCTTGATGCCTTTAGTGAAATTTCTTACTTCATCATACAAAAAAAAAAATTAAAAAAAATCGGTGTTTTCTTTCTTCTGTTCTCTTCTCGCAAAATGAAAATGATTTTGAATGAAGAAAAATGACTTTGTTTTCTCTTTTTTTTTTCTTTTTTCAGAAACTGGTTGATTCTGAGTGAGGTCCTGTGTAATGAACGTCTTGTTTAATGCATGTTCTACTGTAATATTAACAAGGACTGGCAGTCGTGCTGTGAAGAGTTCTATTGGTGCAATTTCAGCTCTTTCATGGAAGACAGGTGTTGGACATAATGCAGCTAGAAAAGTTGATTTCGACTTGCTTTTGAAGAGAATTTGCTTTCGTTGCTATTCATCTAAAAAGTCTAGTGGGGATAGTTCCAGCTCAGAGAAGTCTGATCCTACTCCAAAAATGAAGGAAGATAGAGATGGTTTCTTTGTTGTTAGGAAAGGAGATCTGGTTGGAGTCTACAAAAACTTGAGTGATTGCCAGACTCAAGTCGGATCCTCGGTAACCATTATTTTTCTCTTGTTTATTGACCTTTATTGAATGTATCTATTATTTTTCTCTTGCCAGACTCAAGTCGGATCCTCGGTAACCATTATTTTTCTCTTGTTTATTGACCTTTATTGAATGTATCTATTATTTTTCTCTTGCCAGACTCAAGTCGGATCCTCGGAGGATTGTTATGCAGAGAATATATCTATAAATGCAATGCTTTACTGTAACTAGTGCTTCTTTCTTATTTGATGAATAATATGCAATAGTCGTTTGTGTATTAGAACCTTGTTTATCCATAATTAACCTGAGTTTATTACCAAAACTTCAGCTAAGTGTGTTTGGATGACTTTGAAAACAGTCTTGGAATTCCCTCCTGAGTGTATGACAATGAAACATTATGTCTCCAGGTCATTCTTTTGTCCAATTACTATTGTAAACCAATGTGTTTCAAGCTTCAAAGAAATCACAAAAGGATAGGTTAAGTGAGTTGAGTTTTATCCTTCTATTTGTGATTCGTTCTCCTTTTACTTCTAAGGCCCCTTCTCTATCTTTTTTTCTCTCTCTCTGTTTCTCACTTTCTCCCTGCATCATCTGGATAGTTCGCTACTTTATTTTTCCACATTCTGTACACATGCTTTTTCGTATTGTTATCATCTTCGTGCCACTTTATCTGCATATCGTCAGATGTCATTCTTTTTTGTTTTTGTTTTTTGTTTCTGAGAATGTCAACTGGCATCTTTGAGATCATATTGTATGGAGTGATTGAACTTAATGGCCGTTTGCATGATTCTTCTGAGATTGTTCTCCCTGTGAAGACGTTCACTTGCAATGAGTTAATCAGTTGTTTTCTGCCGCTCGCTGTTCCTGGCAGATATGTGATCCCCCTGTGAGTGTCTATAAAGGCTATGCCATGCCTAAGGACACAGAGGAATATCTGCTCTCTTGTGGGCTTAAAAATGCTCTTTATTCTATCAGAGCTGCTGATCTGACTGAAGATCTCTTTGGAACTCTAGTACCATGCCCTTTTCATGTAAGCCAATTCCTGAGGTCTATCATTTATTCTTAATGGTTTAGTATTTGTTTCACGATGTTTTCACCAAGGTGGGTGATAATTTTACCTTTATTTCTACAAATAGGTTCTTTCAATCAATCTGATCTAAATTTTGACTCACCCATTCTGTTGTGAGGTTGATATGACACAGATCTTAATGTGCAAGTTTCCTTGTCAGAACTACTTGATACTTGGAATTTTGAAATTTCCTTTCCACTTGATTTGAATAATCATCACCCATCAAACAATCCCAAATAAAAGCTGAAATTTTCATATTTTGGCCGCTGGAACTTCAAATAAAGGTAAAATCCATTAGCTAAAGAAACCCTGGAAATCTCATGTATTTATTGGATTGTTATCTAGAAATAAGACCATGATATGACTAGCTGATTTTGTATCGTGTGTGAAGAGTTAGGACAAAAAATCGCGAAGTCCAACCGTGAAGAGTGGCTGGAAAAAAACGCTCTACTTTTGCCTTTTGCTATATAAGGGATGAATTTGTACTGCATTCCCCAACCAAAGTTGAAAGTTTCTAAACTTTATACTGCAACTCACTTCATCAACAAATGGTACTGCCAAAAAGGAAAAAAACCCTGAGAGTTTCATTGCATTACCTCATGTGTGGTATACTTATTTATTTTTCTTCTATGTTGTCAATATAATCCAGATTAAGAGATTTCTCTAAATGCAGTTGACGCATTAATTGTAGGTTTGTACTCTACCCAGGTTAACTTTCCTATATGATGTGCTTTATTTCAAAAAAAATTGTTCCATGATGTGACAATCCTGTTTCATGTGGTAATTCAATAAACATTGGCAGAAAAGATCCTTACCTCTCTCTAATCCTCTATTTAATATTCTCGTCTTCGTTCTTTGGTGTATATTTCTCTCGTCACTCTCCGGCAATCTATGTTGCGCTGACTCTCCAAAATGCTGCCGCACTCGTGCCTGATCCTCCAAAAATGCACTACTTTTGGAGGATACGACATGCACTAGACGACATTTTAGGAGAGTCCGGGCAACATAGCTAGCAATAATAAGCATATGCTGGTCAGTCAGATGAGCTGCTTGTGATCATAAAGCGGTGAAATGGCCTGAAAATGACACATCTTTCCTCTTATTTTTTTCTTTTTTGACTGGTCGTACTAATTTATTAGCATTTTATTCCTTGCAGCAACCTTCTTCTTCCAAAGGTGGGATGCCTGAACACATGCCAAAGAAGAGGTCACAGGAAGTAATGTGGTCAGAATATTCGGTAAGTTAAGACCATATTATGTTAATCTGCGGAAAAGTCTATCAGAATTTGCAGCAATTGCCTCTATGATTTCTTCACTTCTTACTGTACACTGAGAGTTTAATTACTTCATTCCCGAAGTTATCTCCTTAGGAAGTCAGTGTACACACTTTTCTATGCAACCGAAGCATGCTTTTAGTGTTGGGAGTTTCCTTGCAATTTTTCTTTAAGAGGTCATAACTAACAGTTTCACAATCACAGAAGTATGTCGTCACTAATTCAACTGGAAAGGCATTTTTTCTCTCATAAGCAGCAGTGCCTTTTAATTTAAGAATTTGTATACTATTGATTATTAGAGAATTGTTGATATCTTTTTGCTGTACCGGGGCCACCTTTTAATAGACAAGTAATAATGTCATGTGGTGGAAAGATTCTAACAAGTCAGCTCTAGTTATGAGCAAGATTTTCACAAATGGAAGGATACTATAGCTTATGTGTAAGACACATGTACAACAACAACAACAACCCAACAACCCAGTATAATCCCACTAGTGGGGTCTGGGGAGGGTAGTGTGTACGCAGACCTTACCCCTACCCTAGGGTAGAGAGGCTGTTTCCAAATAGACCCTCGGCATCCTTCCCTCCAAGAACTCCCCACCTTTCTCTCGGGGTGACTCGAACTCACAACCTCTTGGTTGGAAGTGGAGGTTGCTTACCATAAGAGCAACCCCTCTTGTCAAGACACATGTACAACAACAACAACAACCCAACAACCCAGTATAATCCCACTAGTGGGGTCTGGGGAGGGTAGTGTGTACGCAGACCTTACCCCTACCCTAGGGTAGAGAGGCTGTTTCCAAATAGCCCCTCGGCATCCTTCCCTCCAAGAACTCCCCACCTTTCTCTCGGGGTGACTCGAACTCACAACCTCTTGGTTGGAAGTGGAGGTTGCTTACCATAAGAGCAACCCCTCTTGTCAAGACACATGTACAAGTAACTAGATATTTTCTTTCTTCTGCTCGCAGGTGTGATCGATGCCATTGAGCTTCGGTGCTCTAAAATAGTAGTCTTTTTCATTTCTGATGTTTCTCAACATACGAACTTTTTCTTAATGAGTAAAGACACCAGTATCTAGGAATGTTATTTTAAGATCCATAGCTACATCATGAATATGGTCACAGAACTACAGAGTCTCCGGTGATATAGCTTAATCTTGCATCGTCCAATTTATAATTCCTTAGACAACAAAAGGAGAGCTCCAGCAGCAAAAACATACAGAAAAACTAAGCAAGTATGACCTGCTAACATCTCAAAGCCCTGCAAATCTTAGTTTGCCGTATAATAATATAAAGAAATAAACATGTCTTGTCAACCTTCATAAAAAAGAATCTCTTGTCAATAAAAGAAATCAACAGACTCCACATATCACCAAAAAGAAAATATTTAACCTGTACTATAATAGTATCTTCCTTGTGGTTCGGCCCCTCCCCGGACCCCGCGCATAGCAGGAGCTTAGTGCACCGGGCTGCCCCTTTTACTATAATAGTATCTTCCTGTTAAGAAATTTTCTTTTCTCGAAGAAAGTATATAAACTACACTTGCATTTATCTTGAATGTAACATTATTAGCTCTGCTTGACCTACCTTCTAGATCTGGATCCTTAATTTGAGTTTACTGGCGATGACTAAAAGATGTTACTTCACCATGTTTGTGCTTTGGGAAAGCGGGAAAAAATGGTAGAAACGTCAAAAGGAATTGAAGTTCAAAGTTAACTTCTATTGCTGCTTCTTTTCTTTCTTTCGGATTTAAATGGCCTTCTCAAGAATATAGATGTTGTTCTGATATAATTAGTCCAATGTTTTTTGGGAAGAAAGTTAGGAGCTATAGTGATCCTTGATCTTGGGATGGATGATAGTTTATAATGGCTTAGGTGGATGATTGTTGTTACTTTTCTTTAGTTAGAGGTGAGGATCACGGATTTAGCTAAAAGATTTGTATGTGCTTGTCACTCCATCAAAAGGAAAGCTTAGTATTTGGTATAGCCTGCATTAAGCATTATCAAACAAGAACTGTACTACATATTGGTTAATAAACAAAATCTTGAGTTGGTAACGGGACGAATTGCAACATCTTTTTGTACATGAAATAGTAGGTAGAGTTGCAATTGTTGGTTGATGTGTATTTGCAAAATTCATCTGTTAAAGTACACTATATTATTCTAGCCACTTTGTAGAAAGGTGGTTTATATATATTTGGTTCAAAGTAGTACAGTGATGATTAGTTGCATTCTCTGCCCTGGATAGTTTGGCTTGACACTGTTCTGGAAACTATTTGTTTTTTTGGCCATGTTCGTTTGCAGGATGCTGTTGGATCAGCAGTTATTTCAAATGATTTCCTAAGAAAGCATGTGAAGTTAGATGATCATAAGGGTGACCAAGCTCTGCCATCGGGTGTGAGTGGCTGTTAAACGATGGCTAATTGTAAAACATAAATGCTTTCTGTACTGAAATTGACAAAGCAAAATTCTTTATCTAAAAATTTTAATAAGGGTAAACTTCATTTATACCTAGTGGGCTGCCAAGTGCGAAAATCGTAATTTACTAAATTAATTGTGAAAACTAAATTCTTTGTGGCAAACTACATGGTTGAGCTTTTCTAAATTTTCTTGTTGGTTTATGGTGTTGTGTGCAAAGAGGCTGATCATTGTTATTGTTAGCAGCGGTTGTGTACTCTTGAATTTGATGGTGCTTCAAAAGGAAATCCTGGACTAGCTGGTGCAGGAGCGGTGCTACGAGCTGATGATGGCAGTTTTGTAATAATCACTAACTTTGGGATTTGTGTTTGTTTCTCTTTTTCTTCAAACTTATGATTTACAACCTTCCAAATAAAAGATCTGTAGGCTGCGTGAAGGTTTAGGAGTAGCAACAAACAATGCTGCTGAATATCGAGGCATTATTTTGGGGTTGAAATATGCACTTAGCAAAGGGTTTACAAGTATTCGTGTTCAGGGTGACTCCAAACTTGTTTGTATGCAGGTTAGTTTTTCAGATATATTTATTATCATGTTTCTCCTTTTATATGCTTGATCTGACACTTGTCCTTTGTCATGCACTGCACTACTANATGTGTGTGTGTGTGTGCGAATACTCTCTTTTGGTTTCTTTTCTATTTCCTTCCTCTTCAGATTCCAAGAGGAATCTGATTTTCTGCTTGATTTTTTTTCTTTTATCTCACTCTAGGTGTATTTTTCTTAAATTCTCTCTCAAAATCTGATTTAAAATTCTGTCTGAAAACTCATTTCTCTCTCTCAATTCCCTCTTAAATCTGCTTTTAAAATCTGATCCTCAAATCTCTCAATCTCCTCCTATTTTTTCTTCTCTGAAAGCTCTCCTTTTTTCTTCTTCCTTCCTCTTTCAAATCTGATGGTCTCCTGTACTTATACAGGTCTGGTCCTATCTTTTTAAGTGCTGCCTGGACCCCCTTTCTTCTTTAAAAATCAGAAAGTTCCATTAAAACTGCTTTTAAATACTTTAAGTGATCTTATCCTGATTTTAAGCAGCTCCATTACCCTTTGTTTCCCATTATCACTTTAAATAATAGCCAATAACTTTCCACTTTCAGCCCATTATGCTATTAACATATTATCCTCATTGTTTTAACTGTTTCATTCTCGGAAATGTCCCAGATTTCCTACTGTAATTACTATCTCAAATTTAACAAGTTATCTGAATCTAAACTTGTCTAGCAGCTAACAACCAATTCCTAATGATTAACCTCCTAATACAATTGTATTTACCCAACCTTTGTAAACTTGAATTCAGAACTAACATCATAACAACATATCACTGAAATTATTATAACAATTCAGACTGGACTTCAACATTGAACCAAGATCAAACACACACAGGAGCATTGTCAATATACTGACAATGCCCTGTTCAGAAAACAATATATACACAACATTCATTTGAATTTACTGATTTGCAAACAAACATGATTTAATTGACGAGTATTAATCAGTTGACTATTTACAACATTTGTCCATAATCAGTCTAAAACAAAAGAGACAGACTGTTTCAATCAGCATTTTCAGAAACAAGATTTATAACACAACTGATCGACGAACTTAATCGAGTCGATCACACACATTGTAATTAATCACAACCAACAGAAACAATTCATTTATTTGACTAATCATACGGGCATGAGACAAAGATGACAGAATTAATCAAATAAAAACATGAAAAATTAACAGGTTATTAAACAAACAATTATTCATGTAAGAAACAAAAAGGAAATAAGGAAAGTACCTCTAAATCTTTAAATTCAACCGGACTCGAACTCAACTTGGATTTGGACTTTGTTTGAAATCAAACAGACCTTAGTCGAAGTATTTTCCACTAATACTTCGACTAAGGTCGATTAAACCTCAAACTTTATTTAATTTGGGTAGAATCCAAAAGTCTGGTATTTCTAGGGTTCTTGAAGGTTCGATTTGGGACTTAACCGTTTCTGGTCAGATTCGAGGGGGACTAGATACGACACAAAGGTGAGGGTAGCCTAGGGGTCATTTGGTGTCAGTTTAGAATAGATCTGAGTTTGTTCTTGTTTGTTCCGAACCTTCAAAAGAAGATTCGAAGAGTTCTGAGGGGATTCGAACCAAACAAACACCAGAT